ACAACTCAAGCAATTCTGTGAAACTTTTATCAGTCCACCCATTCTTTGTCTTCACATTGAACAATTTTAGTACCGCCGATAATCGTGTGAACTTAGTACAATTTTTATACAAAGGCTTTTTTGCATCATTGGACAACTTCTCGTACACATGTGTATGTTGGAAGGCATCTTGTCCAAGCTCACGAATCATTTCCTCCAGCTGATCATCCATCTCTAGATCAACTTCTTCTTTGTCTTCTACACTTGGCATGTTTAATAATTCACCATGCCATGTCCATTTTATGTAACTCTTTAGGAAACCATCACAAAGAACATGTTCCCGAATAACTTCAGTCGGTAATCTTCGCTCATTCAAGCAGTTAACACAAGGACAATAGAATCTTCCATCATTATCCGGAACATTCATCTTAGCAAATTCAAGGAATTGTTCTACTCCACTCTCATATTCATTTGTTGTTCGTCTATAATTGATCCAACTCCGATCCATTGTTACCTTCTAATTTTCAAAATAACTACATTATAATACAAATCTAATTTTCAAAATCAAAATCACGAAAGAATGCCTACAGAAACATATTCAAATGACTAAACTACTTACAATACGTCTCTAAATTAGCTACAGGCACCCGCGAACTTCCATCTCTTGACAGTATTATTACATACCAGATTCAAAAATGTAAACCTACAATGGCTAAAGCAAGCACGAAAACTTACCTCTTGAAGACCTACAGAGGTGGCAGCTGGCGTGACGTGCAAAGCTGGGTGGGGAGAAACGTGCACAGACGACGGGCACCAACGACAATAGCAGCAGGCGGCACGACGTACAAAGTTGGCAGGTGGCGTGACGAGCAGAGCTGGGTGGGGAGAAACGTTCAAAGGCGAAGACGTTCGTAGAAGATACAGAGAGAACGGGGAGCTTTGTTATGGGTGAAGTGAGAAATGGAGTGTCGCGGGAGGTGTAAAACAGAGGATATTATGTCGGTTTCCCTAACACCCGTCATCAAATACACTTTCTATGTCGGGTCAAACTTAACCGACATAGAAAGTGAACTTTCCACTTTCTATGTCGGTTAAAATTTACCCGACATAGAAAGTGAACTTTCCACTTACTATGTCGGTTAAAATTTACCCGACATAGAAAGTTTATGATTTAATTACAAAATTGTCACCGCGCTACATACTATGACGGGTGGATTACGACCGTGATAAAAACTCGTCATAGAATGTTATTTTTCCACTAGTGAATTTTGTTCCACCATATATCATTTAAAACAAAGTCTTCTACCGCTTGAGCCTTACCCACATCATCTTCTCTATAAGAATTTCATTCTTCACTAATAACCATGCATTGCAAAGAATGTTTCAAAAATTTAAATCTTCCCATCATTACTGTAAGAGATGCAAAACGTGTATATGCAATAACAAGAAATTTCAAATTTGAGAAATGATTAAAAATGGTCAATCTCATGGAGTAGTTCATGATAAAATTCCTAATGAAAAAAAAAATCATCTGTAACTTCAGTAATTCAACAACATTCACTAAAAATCACATCATTTTTTCTGTAGTTTTTGTTGCACATATGTTCTTCAAAGCAAGATTCAATGTGTGTCCAACACAAGGTGTCCAAAAAACTTTAGGAAATGAACCTTGAATAATCATTCCAGCACCTTTGCACACAGGAGCATTATCTGTTATAATTTGTACAACATTATATTCCCCTACTTCTTTAATAACTTCAACCATTCTAACAGTTATGTAATGATTATTTTTTATTTCATCACAAGCATCAACAACTTTTAAAAATATAGGAACCCCCTCATTAATGGTCATAAAATTAATTAGAGGTCTTCTTTGATAATTTGTCCATCCATCAGAGACTATGCTAACCCCTTTTTTGTTCTAGGTTGATTTAATTGGTTTCAACAACCTCTCAACATGTGTTTTCTCTTGTTGTGAGAGTGTTGTCCTTAATATTACATCCAGAAGGAAGAAAACCACTAAGATTATGATTTGCAACAAATAAATATGAATTCACATAATAAGTGTTTCTTGCAAGATTAAAAGGTAACCCAGAAGAATAAAACATTCTAGCTATAAGAGCTTTGAGGGTGTCTCTGTCTTCTCAGTTAAACATCTTCTCATAGGATCAATTTTCTCCTTTTTAATAAATTATTCTCATGTCTATTTTCGGTTGATAAGGGAACATACTTAAGTTAATCTATTTTCAGTCAATTCAACAACTGATTTTGATTCAGTAAAGATTCTTCATTGACATTTGAGCACATACCAATTCTTTTTTCATAAATCTTTAATAAATGGGCTTTTATTCTAAAGTATGTACTTGTAAAAGATTTTAACAAAAATTACAAGACTATCTCTTATTTTCACCCGCTTATGATCTTTTTTCTATTAAAGTAACATAGACCTATAGAGGAACATGATCATCTTGTTCATGATCTTTTGAAAATAACATTTTTGAAATTTTTGAATTGGAATTAGAAGAATTTGGTATTGATGTTAATATTTTGAATAAAATTCACTGTAACAAAAATAAATAAAAAAATATAAGTAAATGAAAATATTAATAAAAATAACAAAATAATAAATAATAATTTCATTTTTTTAATTTAATAATACTTCATAATAATTTAACTAATTAAAAATTAAATTAAAATATAATATTTATAATAATAATAATAAGATATATTTAAATCATTGCGTTGAATTAAATTTATAAAAAAATTAACAACATAAAATAAAAATAATAATTTTTATCTTAGTATAATTTTTTTAAAAAGTAATTATAAATAATATTATTCATAATTAAAATTATTATTTTATCTAATTATGAATGTTTTATTTTAATTAAATATTTAATTTAAAAATAAAAAATAAATTAATTATTTAATTTTTATAAATTTTACATAAATTTAAATTTTTATGTATATTGTAATCATTTATAATATTTATTTAATAAAAATACAAATTTATTAAAAAAATAATAAACATATTAGTATTTATATAAAAATTAAAATTTATATTAATTATTTAAATTCTTAATAAAAATTTATTTAATTAAAAAAATCAAACTATAAATAATTATTAAATAAAATTAATCTAAAAACATAATATACATTATTAATAATATATTATATATTTTGAAATTCAAATACATTAACTAAAATTTATAAATAATATACAATTTACCATCCAATATCATGAACACGTAGTCTGTCTCACTTACAAAAACGGTTGCACACACCAACTCACCGGAACATTCTAAGAAATGTCAAAGTTGTTACACACTAACGAAAAGGAAGTCAATTTCACACGTTAGAACACGCGAAAAAAGAGAAAAGTTTCACATTAAAAGACGATTGAAACTAGAGAAAATAAAGGAAAAACAAATATTGGAATAGATAAGAAATAAACCAGTGATAAAAGACGCGAGAGAAAATCAAGAAAAAACAAACAATAACAAAAATTATCTAAAAAAAATAAAATGTTAAAAAAACACTGATTTAAATAATTTAAATCTATTATGATTAATTTAACAGTAATAATAAAAAAATAGTTGTTATTTTTTTTTAATTTATTTTTTCATATTCTTTATATACAAATTTTGTAAGCACCGACAAAAATAGTTGGTCTCGTCAACGTATCCGTGCATCAGAACTTACCTCACTTGTTGACTAAATGTTGGCCATCAAAACTAAATGATTCAATTGATGTCATCGGATCCTAATCATCCTCTCTAATAAGCTCTTCAGTGTATGCTCTTGCCTTCTTCATGACAATTATGCCTTCATGAATATATTCCAAAATTTTGAGACCCCAAAAAATTCAGCAAGATTCAAAATATTTTCTTTAGAAACATATTGGACTTGTTTATTTTCAACTTTATTCCACTAAACGCACAAATTTTCACCAAACTAAAGAAATTAAGGGACTAATAATAATAACATCTATTTGCCAATTGATTCAATAAAAACTTATATCTACACTTACCAAAATTGATATAACCCTCTTAAATGTAGGTAATCAATTGATAGAAGCACATTTTTCAAATTGAGGCTTATTCTTAACCATTTTATCAAACTTGAGTAATTTTCAAGAACTTATTCTTGAACCAATTATTGAAAAATAATCAAATCTAAGAGGATAAATTGAATTATCAAATACCTTTAAAAGAATTTCATGAACAAGATTATCAACTTTTCAATGAACAACACCACACAACACAAATCAAGTTATGTGCTCATCAATGATGTTAAGTGTAAGCTATAACAAGTTGTATAATTGGGATGATAAGACAAAGGTAGCAATAAGAACAATTTGTACACAAATCAATATAATCACAACATATAAACATAATATATGGAAGAAAAAATTGCATACAAACATCTTATTACAATGTTCGATGATATGTGCATGTCTTGGTGACCAAACGGGAAACCAAACCCCCGATATATTTAGAAAAGAACCCAAATTACGTTTCAAAGATAACTTTAATGTTTGCGAGAGAAAAGAATCATAAGCTTCATGAAAGTAGGGTACTCAAAATAACAGCATAAATATCGTCAACATAAACTTTACATGTCTCTCCCATCATAAGAAAAATAATACATATGAATGTCAAATGTTCGCTAATGGATCCGTTATTATAATGAAATAATACTTCCTAACCACACCAATCATTCTTCTACACAACATAAATTTTGTATCAAAAAGGGCTAGGGCTAAAAAATAGAGAATAATTTGAGAACACTACAGGACACCTCAACTAAAAATGAGATAAATTAACGAAGAGTATATTGTATTTTGCTAGATCCTCCCCCATGTCGGCTTCTCTAATTTTCTGTGTGCGAAGAAGCCTTTATCTCGTTGATCAGGACAGATCCTATAGAGTACGGCAATCTCATATTGATGGGGTGTAATACAGCTTTAAAAAATAAGCTGAGGCAATTAAGAGTAATTTAAATAACTTCCACCAAAACTTTTATGTCTTCAGGTCTTCAGACATTGCAGAAGGTATACAATGTGTGGTGAGGATGTCTAAGGTTGCAGCCTTTGCAGTACTGGTCTTTAACACTACTATCTGCAGAAAAAGGGTATTCAAAATTCCAGATCAGCATCACATTAATTCATTAATATCAATAATTTTTTAGTACAGACCAAACTTGATAGATTTAATTTGAATAAGCAGAAAATAATACAATTTATATATGTCCTATTCTGTGTTCAAAAAAAAATCTCTGATCAGAACTTTTTAATCTCTTCTATTCCCTCTTTTGAATAGTTTCAAACGATTTTCTTATATGTTATGTCAAGAAAGAAACAACACACAAGATTAATAAGTACGTAATCTTCATATATATCAATACCTTCTTATTTATAATAGTTTTTTGACTTCATAGGATTAATAAGTTTGGTAGTTGTACAGTGGCCAGCCGTCTTAATCGGGTTCACCCCTAGCCCACCTTAGTTATGCCTCTCTGAGGCAAAACCTTAATTACGATCTCAAGGGTGGTGTTTAGTCTTATATTGACGATAGATATGGTTTAAATACAGCTAATAAAACTTGGACAATGATTTTGAAGCGTAAAAGGAGTGAGACCCTGAGCCCAAATTCTTAGACCAAAAAGGCTTGAACACTTTTCCTTCAAACAATATATGTTCGGGGCATATTTCTATTTAACACGATGGACACAGAATGAACCGATTGGAATATGTCAAAATGAGAGAAAACCTGTTGGTATTCCAGATCAAACTTTAGAAATTCATCTTCACAACCCTCTACCATGCTGGCCAAGCTCTTCAGATTCTTCAAAGGCTTACCATTGAAAGCAAGAACCTACACACACAAAAAAAAAAAAAAAAACTTAATGGACACTTCAGTAATACAAAAAGTTTATCTACATGAAATTCTCTTACCTGAGTGTTAACTATCTCCTCATACCCAATATTGATATCAGACACAAGAACCTATCAAAGCACATTTTAAGCGTGAGCACATCTCAATGTGGTGATAAAATGGAAATATACAACCTAAAAATTTATTGGGGAAATAAATGCAGAAACCTGAGAAACAACAACAAGCTGTTCATCAACAGACTGGGCCATAGAATGTAGATGCTTGTCCAAAAGCTTAACCGGTGCATCAAATTCATAATCTTTGCCATACTGGATATATGTAAAAGAATTCAGAAATTAAAATTAATAATGATAATAAACTAAAATACAAGATAGTTAAAACAAATACAAATTCTCACAAGAAATAAACATATCATCTGTTACAAGCAACACATACAGCCAAAAATGTAATGCATCTGTAATTTATAAACAAGAATAACATCCACTAAGGAAAACACAAATTGTCTTCTCAAATTTTTTAAAACAATATGGTTTGTCCAGAAAGAAACTTGGGTTGAACAATGGGAAGGCACATTTTAATCAAGTATTGGAGATCCACATCTACCAGAGTCTATCATAACAAGGTTTGTTAGACCTACAAATATCTAATCCTTAGCATGAACGGGTGTGTTAAAGATCCCATATTGACTAGACATATAGTTCAATTATAATATAATATTAGATGTAAATATCATCTTATGAACAGGTTTTACAGGGTTGACTAAAGTCTAAATTCACTTTCTAACATGGTATTAGAATCCTATCCTAAGGCATTAGTCTTCTCACGTCCAAACACTAGACCAAAACGGCATTGTAGAAAGAAAACCCAATACCACTAGAGCATTATTGTTTAAAAAAAATGTTTCCAAAATGTGTTTGGACGGAGACTGTTCTAACATCAACATATCTTATGAATAGACAACTGTCTAAATTTTGGGATTTAAAAGCCCTATGGGTGTACTTTTCTCTTTTTATCTTGTCTACTTCCAAATAAATTCCCCCAAAAGTTTCAGTCTCATTAGTTCATGTCCAAGGGGTAAACTTGATACTGGAACTCTAAATTATGTCTTTGTTGGATATCCTATACTTACTTAGAAAGGGCACAAGTGCTTTCATCCTCTTCCCCTGAAATTCTGTCTCAAGATGTCACCAACGATGAGGATCATAAATTTTTCACACAACCTCATCTTAGTCTTTGAGAAGATAAGGAGAATCATTTTGAAACACTTGTCTTTCTAAATCAGGTTAAATTATTGTCAAGAACCTAAGATGAAACATTCATCCAAAATGAAGAAACATTAGGTGGAGGAAGTTTATATAAAAGAAATGGGAATACAATACTAGAAGCTTACACCGAGGTTGATTACGCAAGGCCAATAGCTAACAAGAGATCCACTTATACAAACTGTACCTTTCTTGGAGGAAAGTTAGTAAGTTGAAGTAAAAAAAGAAAAAGCAGTCGCTTTATCTAGTGTCAAAGCTGAATTTACGGGCTGTGGAACAAGATATTTGTGAATTGCTCTGGCTGAAAATTATCTTAGAAGACTCAAGATTAATGGGATGGACCTATGGAACTTTCCTGTGATAATAAGTTAACAATCAGCATTCTATTACGCATGATTAACCAAAACACATTGAAATGGATAGATATTTTATCTAGGAGAAAAATGGATACTTCACAAATGATAGACATTTAGAAACAATTTTTTTTTAAAAACCATCAATTATAAAGAAGCAGAGGGAGTAACATTTAGCTGGGTTCAATGTATCTTTGGAAGTTGTGGTACTTTAATTGTTTTCTTGAAAATAGCAATAGTTCTTTATTACCTATGTAACCATTCTGATTATAAATAGATTAATCTGTTGGGTGGAAGGATCACTCAAGGATATTAAAAAGCATACATCTTTGTTTCTCTCTTTTCAAACTTTGTTCCTCTATTCTCACACAGGAGATAGTGACAAGGTCAGAGTAAGAGACAGGAGGCAGCAGGCATCGTCACCAGAGAGAGAAGAGACCAGAGCCACAGCATGTCTCCTTTTTGCTCCATTTTTCCCTAAAATTGCATAAAAATAACCTACCCCAAAAGATGCCCAAATATCTAAGGAGGTCTTTTCTGGAATCTTAGCAGCACAATGCTATCCCACTAAGATCCACCATCCATGCTATTTCCACTGAGAAAGCAATTGGGACACTACATGATGGAAGACGGTAGCAAGAAGGGCCTCTATATCGTGATGGAAACACCACTATCACGGGATATTGAAAACACTAATATTATTTAAATTTTTTAAATTCTTTGGCAATAGACCTTTATAAGAAAACTATGAAACTGACAAGACTCCTGGATTTAATATCTCGGTGTTTATTTTCTTTTAATATGTTGCTCATAGGTAATGAAATAGCTTCAATGTGTTTTATGTTTAAATGCTAAAATCATTGTTAATGGCATGAAAGCGAACCTGGAATGCTCAATGGGAAAAAAAATACACTTTTTATATTTTTCTCACCAGTTTCTTAAAAATGAGACTCAATGATTTTAGTTGAAAAGAGATTAGTTGTCTAGTGATATCTACGGCCAGATCAAAAGAAAGTTTAATCTTGTAAAAGCTTATTTTATTAGGTTCTCCTAGTCTAAACCTGTCATCTCAATTGAGAGGAAAGCACACTCAAGCATTCTTCACTTAATCAAACATTCAAGTGATTTTAATCAGTTTGGTTTTGGTTCAGGTTTGTCCAAAAAAAGAGTACGAAACCAACCTGTATGAGTGGAAAGCACACTTCAGCATTCTTCACTTAATCAAATATTCAAGTGACATTGACCGATTTGGTCTGGTTCAAGTTTGACCCAAAACAATAAGTATGAACCCAACCTATCCCACCTATTTGTCCAAAACAACCAATCCAATCAGTTTGCACCAGGCAAAGAAAAACATAAAACAATTCTAAACTGACAAGAATTTCAGTTATTTCAAAATGCATCTTCATTTGTATTTAAACCACTTAAAACAATGGTCATGGAAGAGTCAACAAAAACAACAGACACGGAAGAAGGATAAGAATGCACTTAGCAATCCAATAAATCATAGTTACATGAACACTTCTGATCAATAACAGAGAAACTAAGTTATATATAACCAATCAATCGGCTATGAATTTCACGAAGTGTAAAGCCCCAAGAAACATCGTAAGTTTGAAACAACCAATTGAGTTAACACAAATATTTTGTTTATGGCAGTGACATAAGAAAACAGATAAATTAAATTCATACAATAGCAAAAAATTGTTCGCTTACAAGCTAAAACAGAAGAACAATTACCCAGAAAGAGACGTGATGGGGCGTAAAAAAACAGAAGAGTGTGAGATTCAGAAAATTTGTTCAAACAGCATATACAAGAGAAGAAAAAGCATGCACTAAAGATAACTACTCACCTCAGAACGAAGATAGGGGACAGAAACAGCAGTAAAAACAAATCCAGCAATGATGTAGTATGAAGGAGGCCTGCCCTTGATGTGTGCCGGAACAAGTCGCTTATGTGTTGCAAGTTTTATGTTAAATTCAAGTATTTGTGAATTCCGGAGAACCTTTACTTGAGCTCTATCCCCAGTGTACTTCTGAGAGACAAGGTAACTGAAACCAATTCGCTCCCCATGCCTGAAAGGAACTACAAATTTATCTGAAAATTAGATTTTACCTCTAAAAACAAGTGAAATATACAAACTAGTTGTACCGAAAAAGGTCATAGTAGACAGAATTGAAAACAAGGTTTCAAAGAAATTAAGCAAAACATCAACAATTCATGTATGGATTGAATATATGAAGGGGCTCATTCTGGTTTCAATTTGATGAAATGAATTGAAAAAATAGAAAATATATCAATTTCAATCTCATTTTAAACATCAATTCTTAACATAAAGCATAAATCAGTGACACCTTCGTGAATATCTTATTTGCAGCATATACAAGATTTTCCAAAGTCCCACCAAAACCAACCATTAGACTTTAAAACAATTGATGTATGCTAAGGATGGGATGGAAAAAATCAGAGATTGGCAGCTTTCATCATGTAACCACTGCTTCTTTGTTATGACTATTGAGTGAATATTACCTCCAAGTTATATATATTTCCAGTTATTACGTTATCATGATTTACTATAACTGAAATACTAATGTCCTTTGCAGTAAAACTTTCTTTATTACTATGTGGTCTAAATAATTTATCTCTAAATAAATATTAATATATATTTTATCTCTTGTAAGATATTTACTTATGGTTTTTGAATTGATAGTTTTTATACAATTTCTACTCCATGAAATATAAATATTTGATCTGGATAAAATTTTATATTATTGAAGATAAAAGTTTTTGTTTGTGTGTGTGAGAGGGAGAGAAAAAAAAAAAAGTCAAGCTGTGCATAGAAAAGGGAGTATCAGAATAGAGAATAAAAAACTTTTGTACAGGCAATATGACAGAATATATATAAAACATAAGTCTAACACTCCTAGTCAATATGAACCGAGCTTGGACCATATGAACTGAATTTGAGGCCCTCTTAAACACTTGGTCAAGACATCTGTGCAAGTTTATCACATGAGCTGATAATTCAGTAAAAATTTCCAAGGACAAGCAACTTCTCCCCAAATAAAATGACAGTCAAATCTTCATACACTTAGTTCTTTCAAGGAACACTAGCCAAATCTCATCTTGATAGATAAATTAAGCTATACTTGCCCAAAGCATTTGGGTGGTTACTGGGTGATATATAGTGATATGGTGCTTTGACAACAGTTCTGGTATCTTGCACTTTGTGATTGATGCTTGTGCATTTGACATTAGGGGAACTTAGGTGATGACTTCAGGAGAGATTATAATGGAGTGGACTACGATGTAAAGATAAAGTTGGAAGGAATCGCTTTCACCTTGCATGTGATAAAAAGGTTAATGACGGTTACAGAAACTAATGTCAAACTGTTCAAGTACACCTATAAGTATCTTGAAACCTCCATTAGCCCATCTGTTTGTGGGTTATAGGCAGTGCTCATGCAGGAGAGGGTTCTGGTCATCTTCAAGAGTTCCTACCAAAGGCTGCTCATGAAGAGCAGATCTCAGTCTGAAACAGTGGTGCAGGGAAATCGTGCAGACAAGCAACTTCCTTAACAAACAATTATTCTATTAGCAATACATAGGTGTTTAATAGAGCAGCTGGAGATTGGATGAAGGAGTTATTTCTTTGGCATGTTTCACAAGCAACAACATACTCTTAGTACCCCGCTACAGATGAGTCATACAATTCCTTTAGAAAAGTTGGGAACCTAGCAAAACTTCTTGGAAGTCCCACCCCTGATCATAAAATGACCCTTCTTAACTCAAAGTGTGTATGGATTGTTCTTCCAATCAGAATCTCTTGAAAGATATAGATGACGATCCTTTTGAACTTCTTCCTCCCAATCATGCCACTGTTCACTTTGCACCAACAATAATTGGAGCACAAACTACCTATTCCCTTACCAAATAAAAAATAATTGCTATATAATGTATTAAGGACCATTTGGCGTCTAAGATATAATAGGATAGCTATATATTTTGCTGTAATCAATTGTGTTAAGATATGTCTTAATTTTAATTATTCGGACGCATGTTCCTAGGTTTAGAGTTACCATTTGGGTTGAAGCCCATCCAAGAGCGTCAAAAGTGAGTCAACCTTCAAATTGAGCCAACCTAACTCAACCTACTACGAGTTGATGGTTTAGGTGGATTAGCTCACAATCCCATATTTATTTTTTTGTTCTTCAATTTTTTTTCTAATAAACACAACTGAATTGCAGGACTGAAACACAGTAACGTGATGGCGTAGCAAATGTTGTAACGCCACTAAAACGCGACCAACACTTTCAGGCAATTGGAATGCAACCAACACTATCAGGCAATTGGAATGCAACCAACACTATCAGGCAACTGGAACACGACCAACGCTATCGTTCCAACGCTATCAGGCAACTGGAATGTGATCAACGCTGTCACGCAATTGAAACACAGTGACGCGGTGGCACAACGAATGCAGATAGTGTGATAAACGCATGTTATCAATAATTTTATTAATATTATATATATAGTATAATTCTTTAATTAATTATTAGTATTTAATATAGTTTTTCTAAAAAGGAAATAAATATCTCTAAATCTAATTTATTATTTAAATTATACATTTTCACTAATTATTTGTTCACTTTTGCACGAATGATAGATTAAAGAGATTATAAAAGCTTCAATATGAGGAAACCGCTCGGTGCCAAAAAATTTACTCAATGAAATCAGTCCAAAGAGCTCATTCTCAAAATAAATCATCTACACAGCAAACATACCAACCACTGAGCGAATGTGTCGAAACTCATCTAACTAACTTAACAACAATTACATTGAGCGCATAAAAGAATTGCTGAACAAATTCATCGCAAAACCTCAATACTTCAAAAAGCTATTTAAGTTCTATTATGTAATTATGAGCCTTGAATGCGCTTTGCTCACTTCGTGCATGATTGTTGTCGTATAAATAAGCTTTAGAATGTCAAAAAACATAAGTTAGGTCACAAATTTAGTTCATTTTCTGATTTTCAAGTTTTACATTCCAAATTCTCTCTAGTCTTTTCTCTTTTTGTGATGTTTAGTTTTCAAGTCTGTTCATAGAGCTTCTTGTACGAATAATGCTTTGAAGATTATCCATGCAAATTACTTTTGATCAGATTTGTTTCATTTCTCTTTAATTCTTTGCTTTAATTTTCATTTTCATCTTCTTCTTCCACTTTCACATCATTTTCTTTATTGTTTTCATGTTTTTTCTGGTTTTCCAATCATGTTCTAATTTGTTTTTGTTGTTGATTCACTAATTAAAACTTTTTTCTATGGTTTAAATATGGTTCTTAACGATTCTAACCGATTATAATCTATTACAACTTTTGATAGAGTAATTTAGATGCTTTCATTTACTTTCCAATGCATTTACAACTTTCCCTTATTGCTTTCATGGTTAAGATCAATGCTTTCATTTCCTTAGAAAATCAAGGTTTAAAGAAAATTGATCAATTCTCCTTGAGGACACGACCTAGGTCAGCCCTAGCACTGCATTATTTTTCTTGCAAATTCTTCGATGACATCTAAGTGACAAGATGTGGCACAACAAATGTTGTGGCACGACTAAACACAATGCAAACGGGTTTGCTTACCATCCATCCGCCGCACCACTACACCACCGTGTTCATTACATTTGTCGTATTATCACGTTTCAGTCACAACATTTGTCGCGTTTCAGGCCCACGTTTTAGTAACGGCACAACGCTTATTGTGACACCGCAAAACAATGTTTCAATCACATCACAACGTTTTCCCCGCCATTGTGTTCGCCGAACCACTAGATTTGTCACGTCACCATGCTTCAGTTGCACCATAATTTTTATCACATTTCAACCACGTCATAGTGTTTGTCGTGTCTTTGCGTCATTACGTTTCAGTCTCGCAATTCAATTGTGATTTAAAAAAAAAATTAAAGAACAATAAATAAGTATGGGTTAGTGAGCCAACCCACCAACCCGTAGGGATGGCAAAATGGGCTAGCCCGCCGCGTTTTGGTTCGCCCCGCCTTTGGCCCGCCAAAAGCGAGACGGGACGAGCTAGCCCGCTATAGTCATGGTGGGCTACAGGTCTCGGCCCGCCAAAGAGCGGGCTGACGGACTGACCCGTCATATTTCTTATTTTATTATTTTTAAATCAAATATTTCAATAAATTTAATAATAAAATTATCATTGTCAACAATTCAATTGAATATATATATATATATATATATATATATATTTCAAGTTAATAATATAAATTAATGTATTATTTTAATAAATTATATTTTAGAACAACTAAATTAAGATAAAATTTATATAATAATAAATACATGTATGTAACGGAAAAAATTTATTACATCTTTATTTTTTGTATTGAAAAGTATGAGATATATATGATTTTTACCTTATGAAGAAGGATGAGCAAGAAGGAGATGATGAGTAAAAGGAAAGGAGAGAGAGAGGGGTTTGTGCTTGAGAAAGGAAAGTGTTTCCCGTAATGTGAATATAAGTAATTATAAAACTTTTTGAATTCTCTTAGTAGTGAGATACTGAGACTTTATGAATTCTCTTTATGAGACATTGAGACTTTTTTCTTTTCATAAATCTTTATATTATATATTGTCTTTCGAACTCTTTGTATTGTATCTAGGGATGGCAAAACGGGTTAGGCCCGGCGGGGCAGATTGGTGTTTTTAGTCCACCAGCCCGCTTTGGCCCGCCCCGCTAAGCTCGCCAACTCGTCGGGCCAACCCGCGAGACGGGACGGGTCAGCCCGTGGCCCACCTAATTAATAAAAAAATAATTTTTTATTGTAATAAAATTAATTATAAAGATAATATATAAAGTTAAAAAATTTAAAAAGAGAATTAAAAAAGTTTCACTCTTACGTAAAATATTCTCCTTAGTGAAACATAACCTTCTCTCTCCTGTTTTCCTTGTTTATCCTAAGCACCGATTATTTTTATCCTTATTACTTGAATTAAAGGTGTAAGAATTACTCAACCAAAAATAATATTAAGTTTTATCAAATAAAAAAGATATAGGTATTTGATTTTTTCAATATAAAAAATATAAATTTTATAAGTTTTAACGTTGTTTATATATATATATATATATATATATATATATATATATATATATATATATATTTGTTATTATTTATTATTATGTAAATTTTATTATTGTTCTAAATTATAATTTCTTAAAATAATGTATTGATTTATATTATTAAATTGAAATAATATATATATTGAATTATTGACAAGCAAATAATAATCTTATTATTAAATTTATTAAAAAAAATTATTTAAAAAAAATATTTTTCTAAATTATGGCGAGCCAGCTCGTCATGACTATAACGGACCAGCCCGCGCCCGCCCCGTTTTTGGTTGGCCAAAGGCGGGACGGACCAAAACGGGGCGGGCTGGCCCGTTTTGCCATCCCTAATTGTATCACAATGAAAAAAAAATTATTAGTAAAGCGGGCCGCGGGTTGGCCCGTCCTGTCCCGCGCGTTGGCGAGCTTGGCGGGCAGGCCAAAACAAGCTGGCAGGCTGAAAGTACTAACCCATCCGCCATATAATAGTGGGTTGGCTACTGGCCCGCTAGGTCTGACCCGTTTTGTCATCCCTACCAACCTGTAGTGGGTTGAGCTGGGTTGTGGAATATTTGGCTCGCCATAAAGTAAGTCGGATTGAGCTCACCTATTTTCAACTCAACCCATTTTGAGTCAACTCGTATGAGTCGAGTTAGCTCACTTTGACACCCCTACCCAAACCCCAATATTCCACCCTACTCTCTTAATATTCATCCTATGCGGACTCATTCTAAAATCGGTATTATTCGACCCAAAATTAATCCATCTCTCCTAATGAACAATGTGGAACCAAAGAATGTCAAATCAACCTTACACGAAAGAAAGTGGTTAGTTCCTATGCTTATAAAGGTGTGCACCAAACGTTGGATAAGATGTAATCTATCTATCCTATCACATCTTATCCTTGTAGTTTTTCCTAACTTAACATATCTTGACAACCAAAAGAATCCTATCTAGTAACATACGTGGAAAGTTACACCTTAAATCAATTAATTAAATACTTCCTCATTTGATTAAAACATGAAATAAATTATAACAGTCTATACTAATTCTTGATACTGCAATAATGTCTGAAATCCTAGATCTGATAGTCAACTGTTTGTTTAACTAAACAAGGAAAGCACATGGCCATACATAAATCATATTAATGTGATCATTATTTGTTACAAAGTAAAAACAAGGTAGATTACCTGTTCCATCATTGGCAATATTGACCCCATCAAAACTGAGAATTACATCAGATGGCTTTAGAACATGAGATTCTGGAGCAGTTGGTTCAATTCTTCTGATACGTACACCTTTTTTATCTGGTCCCAAACCCATTGACATTCGCAAGTCAGGATTTTCCATCTTCTGCCACTCAACTCCAAGAATTGGAAATCCTGACAGCCAAGAAGTTAATGACAAATTTATTTAAAATCATGCTATCACAGACAAACTACATTAGACAAAAATGTAAAGGCCATAAAGGTGAGGAAACAACAATATGAACAATAAACAAACAAAATGCAAGAGTCCAGCAAATATTGTCTATAGAATTCTCCACTTAATCTTTTTATCTCACTTCATGTTTATTTATCAAGTATCCCTATTTTCTCTTTGATGGTGTTTGTCCTAGCCAATTTTAGGGTTCTCGTCCCCTTCAAAAGAGTTGTGCCAGGCACGATTATGAAAGCTCTAAAGAATAGAAGACATCTTTTTTAAATGAACAAAACATTAAAAAATAAATGAAGAGCTTTTAGATAAACTAATTTTAGGAACTTCTTTTCTTTCTTATTCTCTTTTCCATAACCAGATCCGAATACATTCCCAAAAGGTTTTAACAAAAAAAGTAACTTTTAAGCTTAAAAAACTATAAATTAAGTGCATTTAGATACATACCTGTATACGCCCCATTCCTTTCATAATCTTGGATAAAATGTAGGATAACTGGGGTGGGTATCACATACCCTATATTCTCCACATCTTCATGTTTAAGAGACTGGAATGCAATCCCAACACATTTTCCCTTATCATTGAGAGCAGGTCCACCAGAATTGCCAGAATTTATCGCAGCATCTATCTGCAAAGGAATTTAAACAAACACTTCAACTTAACATATAAAAATGGACAACTAGAAGACAGATGGAAAAGTAAAAAGGGATAACTTATAACTTATATTACCTGCAGTCCCAGAAGCTCTGTTGAACCATGAACATAAGAGAGTATTTCCATGCGTGAAACAACACCACTTGTCACAGAGATTGTGTCACCTCCAATAGGATATCCAACAACAGTTACAGCATCTTGCAGGGCAGGCAAATCACCAAATTCCACAGGTGAAACTCCCTCCCAGAATTCATCATCACTCACCGTCAACATCGCTGAACCATCATCAGAAGGATAGCAGGCATCACATAATTACATAATCACGCATATGTGTGAAATAACTAACATCCGTAAATCTCAAAAGAAAGGGCCAAAACAACAGGATTGTGGTGGAATTAAGATTATAGCAGAAACCACCCAAATTTTGACAAGCTGCACCATAATAAAAGAAAAAATGAAACCTAAGCATGCAAAAAGGAATATAAATGTTACTCTCACATAAAAGCTCTCCCTTAACATTGCATTCCAATGTGTTCCCAACCACGATTACCTCAAACATTTTTTTTCTTCCCTTAAATAACTCTCTAAAATCCAAATACGGAAAAATCATCAGCATCATTTCCATGCAAGGTTTTAAAGACTCGGCCACAACATTAAACTTTTGGGATCCTGAGAGGTCTCCACAGCTGCAATACAGCCCACAATTGCAACTGCATCAACCACGTTGCATTTGTCTGCAATTTCCGGTAATATCAAGAGTCTGAAATTTCCAGCAATATCAAGAGTCACAAGGAAACCCTAACTGCAATTTAAATCCTTGTTTACATGCAAATCCATATATCCATTCCTTCAATAATCCATTAATTTCTTCCACTAGGCATGCAAGTCATATCACCCGCTTCCCCTCCCTCTCCGTACATAGGAAGCCATGTAAGTTGTGATTTCCACATACTTGCAACAAACACAGAACAAAACACTTGCACAACAAAATGTATCGTTCATAATTTGCATCCCTAACATGAGGAATAAAATATGAAAAAGTATGAGATAAAGTGAAATTTAAATACCGATATCGCACTCGGTCCCGATGGCGAGGACGGTTGCCAGATATTTAGTATCAGAACCACGTTTCTTGAGCTTGACTTGTGTGTGATGCTCAACGGAATGCGCGTTTGTGAGAACCCTCCGTCCCCCCACGATGAACCCGCTACTACTCGAGCTATACTGCCTCTTCCGCTGCCACGGCAACGAGAAATTCGGCTCCGTGTGGACGCAGAAGACCTTCACCACCGCGTCCATCGATGGAACCACCTTCACCGAGCCCTCCCACTTAGGCATAAGCGGCGGTTCCTCCGCTGCTGCACAATCCCCGTTCGACTCAGCCAGCCGAGAGCCGCGGCGCTCCGGCGACTCAACCTTTGTCTTTTTGGAGCGGCCGCGGCGTCGCCCCTGGTCCGGGTCGCTGGGTTCGACGGCTTCGGTGATGGTGGCAGGAAGCGAAATGGCGTCGATTTTGGAGACGGGGCTGCAGTCATGGGACGCGGTTTCTTCATCAGTTGCGGTCTTGTGCTTTCGGCCACGCTTTCTCTTCTTTTCGCCCATGTTTTTCCTTTAGTGGTGGTGTAACGGAGAGAGAGAGGAAGGAAGAAAGAGTTGTCAAGAAAATTGAGTCTAGGGGTTTCAGTATTGCAGGAGGGAATTGGGTAGAAATGTCACCATTTTCTTTTCTTTGCTGATCAGAGACGGAGATACGCAAGTGTTGGTAATGGTTCTGGACCTAGTAGTTTGAGTTGGGTCCAATAAGCGTTGCACACGGACCGACAATCCAAAACTGGCTTTTGCTTTTCCCACCTCTATTGTTCCTGTTTCGACGAAAATATTTTAAATGGTTATTTATATTATCATCTTTAATGTTTATTTTTTTATAAATGTTTTTGGAATTATTATCTATAAAATTACGTTATTTTTAAAATTAAAATAAATTACTTTTGTTCTGATATAAGAAGTGGAGAGACTATATAGAAAAAATATATATAAAAAATAAAGAAAAATTATTGTTTTATTCTTAATAACTAAGAGCAACTCCAACAATTATGGTCTCAGTTGTTTATAAGCAACGTGTTTATAAGAAACTGTCTTGCATATAAGCAACGTGCTTATAAGAAACTGTCGTTGGAGTAATCCGACATGACAACGAACAATTTTCAAAAGTTAAGCACCGCATTTTGTAGAAATAATGTTCATAAGAGTTGTTTATTGTCATTGTTGTTTAATATTTTGTATTTTAATTAATGTTAATCGTATTTCCAATGTTAATTTAATTTTTATTTTTTTTAAATTTAAATATATTATTTATTTTATTTTAATAATTAATTATATATTATAATTATTACTGATGTGGCATAGCGGGTCCCATTAAAATCAAAAGTGGTAGTTAAATGGTGAGTTGCTTATAAAAACTCACCATTGGATTGAATTTGTAAAAATTTGAAGAGAGTTGCTTAAAGATGATGTGGCACTATGGGTCCCACTTAAGAACCAAATGTGGATTCTTATAAGAACCTACCATTGGAAATGCTCTAATAAATTTATATTAAGGTCAAGAAATTTCTATAAGACCGTATTTCATTTTCTTTTTCTATATTCAAAAACTTATACAATTAAGTATCTCAGGTGTGTCCTTCTATTTTGTTTTTAAGCTAGGGTGTTGTTGGTATGCTGCACAAGACAATCTAATACTTAAGTTAGTAAGGATGTAAATATGAGATAAATGAATAGCATTCACATCTTGAAATTCTTATCTATTTATACAACCTTTGATGGCCCTCTTATGGATTTTGGATCCTTGTCTTTCTACTTTTGGCAACGTGTCTATATTGTGTCATTCTAGACGTGCAGTTACAGTATATGTGACCTGATAGTGCCATGTGGCAAGGTTTGTACACTCACAATATATTGGCCCCCCAAGTTTAAAGGAGCTTTCAACGATGGAGAAATTTATAAACTCTTTTGAAAGGAAATTTATATTATCTTTGGTCAGCATGTTTCTGACTCCTCTTACCTATTGACCCCTAGACTCAAGGAGTGTGTAGATGACAAAGAGTCTAATGAAGGGGGCTTACGTGCTTTGTCAATCTTTTAGAATGTGTTAGGGGGTATGCTTTTGGAGAAAAAATCTATATGTGATGTTTTGCATATAAGGCACAAATTTCTGTTGTGAGATTTAGGATTGGATGATTGGGGTGTGCAACACTTCAATTTGTGTATTCACGTAGTTTATAAGTACGTGATGGTCTTTTTGGGACCACACACTGCTATGAGCTCAAAGTTCCGAGAGTAACATTTGAGGACACGCTATAATGTATGTTTTAGACAAGTTACAAACATCTTGTTGAATTTCTATCAGTACTCATGCAACCTCCCTCCTTGCAGTTGTCTACTACCACTTCTTCATATTCTAATTTTTGTAGTTTTGCAGGCAAGGAAGAACTTTTCTAAGAATCTCCTTTTTGTGTCATTCCATATGATGATAGGTGTTGACTACAAATATAGTTAGTCCTTTGTAAGTTCACAAAGTGAAAATGAGCATGTTCTCATCTTTGACAAAGTTTTTTGCCACATATATAAATCTCATGGTGCAAAAAATCACATGAACTCCATCAAGTTATGTAGCTCTTCACCTATAAGTCCATGAAATTTAGGGAACATGTAGATCTAATTGCACTTTCTTGTAATTAAGAAACTTGATGAACACATTTTTCAATTTTTTTATTAATATATTTTATATATGATTAGTATATTTAATTAGTTAATTATTTATTATTAACATAATTTTCATAAAAAAGAAATAAATATATTTATATTTAAATTATTGCCTAAATCATGTATTTAACTAATTATTTATTTATTTTTACAAGAATAATAAATTCAATAAAATATAAAGTTTTATTTTGAATAATTCACTTAACGAATAAGGAATTTTAGCCAACAAACATCGATCAAAGAGTTCATTCCAAATTTCAACAAGTCACAAGTCACTGAGCGGATGGAATATTTCCCTAAGCAAGGGTGTTGTTCTTCAACAACTAATTTAACTCGTCAATTTCATTAAGTGAGCAAACGTTGAGTGCATCTGTCACAAAATCTAAATTATGCAAAAACACAATTCAAGTTTTATTTGATGAAATTGGATAATTATGGATTTTTAATGGGTTTTGCATGTCTTAAGAATGTTTTTTGTTATATAAATAGATTTGAAAGACCAAAATTCATAAATTAAGTTTTATTTATTAGATAACTTAGTTTTTCTCTCTTTTGATTGTTTATTTTCCAAATATGATTATTGTGAATATAGTAGGAACAATATCTTGAAGTTTATCAATTCAAGATATCTTGAATAAGATTTTTCATCTCTTTATGCACTTTCTCCATTTAATTTTCGTTTTTATTTTTCTTCTACTTTTCTCTTTATTTCTTTAGTGTTTTCATGTATTTTGTTGTTCTTCTACCTTTGATCATGTTCTAATATGATTTTGTGGTTAATTCATGGATTAAAACTTGTTTTCTATGGTTTATATTAATGATTTTAATTTGTTATAATTCATTACAATCAATGTAATTTAGATTATTTGATTGAATGTCTCATTTTATATTATAATTCAATCTTTAGGTTTAAGTGAAGACTTGATTTAGGAATTAAGTTATATTTTTATTTCAAATGAATTGTAATTATTTAGAGTTCTTATGGATTTGTTTTTTAATTACAAAAAAGTATAGAAATCAATGACAATATTATGACCAAGTTGATGATTAGAGAATTAACCAATGTTTTCCTATTTTTTTTCTACATAATTTTTCACTATTTTTTTTTTGCACAATTTCAGCTTCAATTTTGTTTTGATCCTTAATTTTCGTGTGCAATGTTCCTTTAATGATTTTCAACCTTTACTTTTGTACATAAATTTAATTTTTTTCTTTGCTACATTTCATCTACAACTTTAATAGAGTAGTTTTACATGTTTTGCTATATATTCAATGTAATTTACAAGTTTCTTTTAATGTTTTTTATAGTTTAGGTTAATTATTCTCCAAATTGGTTTCATCTCTATGCTTTGATTTATTATTTTTGTTAATTTATTTACTATTTTTCATATGAACATAGCTTTTATAGTATTTATTTACTGTTATTGCATATAAACACCAAAACCCCTTTATTTTCCTAGCTTTTACCAATTGCAATCAAAATTTAAACAAAACATGTTAATTCTTCTCGATCACACGATCTAGGCAAACCCTAACACTACATTACTTTCATTGAAAAATATTTGATTTCATCTAGGCGGCAAGATGTGTTTAATGAAAATGAGAATGAGAATGTTTTTATTTTGATAAAAGTCTATATGTCTCTTGGTAGAACAAACTACATGGAACTCCATCAAGTGTTTATATTGATTTTCACCTACAAACCCATTAAAATTAGGCAACAAGTAGATTAATCTAGATTTAATTTATATTTAATTGCACTTTCTTGTAATTAAGGAACTTGAGTGCACAATGGTTGGTAGCATAGATCAAGTGCAACCAACACTTTCAAAGTTCTCTCATTAGTAAGAGGCATGTTTTGCACCTCCCAATTAAATTTATGAATAAAAGTATCACAATTAGAATCATAATCAATACCACTAACACCCATGCTAACAAAGTCATCAACTAGAATATAACTATCTATGTTAATAAAATGACTATATAAAGAAGTAATGCGTGCATTTTTTTTCTTTAGTCTTTATCAAGCCTATTAAATCTTTTATTAATATTGGACTCAAGAGTACCTAATGCACGAGAGTAAGATCTAAGCATGCATAAAGAAAAACACCAACCGCTTACACAACTATAAATAGTAAAAATTGTTATAAATTATCTAAAAAATGAAAACTCCATTAAAATAATTTAAGAAAAAAATAACACTACATTAAATCATCTAGATGTATTTTTTATTTTTGTAATTTTGATGTAATTTTTAAAAATAGTCAAAACATTAAAAATTTGAAAATATGCTCTAAATGATTGGATTTGAGAATTGAATGTGTAATCTATATCCTTCTACCTCAGTTAATGAGTCATGATTTCCTTATTTTTGGAATTTATGGTAATGTTTTAGATATTATGACAATGTCATAACTTTTGGAAAAAAATTACATCAATTTTTTTTATTTATATATTATTTAATTTTTATATTTTGCTTAGTCAATGCAAATCAACATCAAAAGAACTAAAATAATGTAAATGAAGATAAAAAAAACTTAGGTTGATACTTATCAAATGATACCTAATGAAAATAGTAACTAACAAAATATAAACTTTATAATCAAAATAAGAATTGAATAATGTCATTTTAAAATCAAAATATTTAGTTTTTTTTTTTAATTTTGATATAAAAAACAACCTAGGTTGATTAACAAAGACACATCAATTATATTCCATCTTCAATTTGTCTCATTTATAAATTAATCTGGGAATTTTGATTTAAAACACTATAATTAAAATTCAAGAATAAAAACACAAGAAAATGAAATTCAAGAAAAAAAAACAATCAATTGAAGATT